CAATAGCAGTAAAGTCAATAGGGCTCCTGTGATTGGTACTAAAAACGGACCTCCCGGAACTTTGAATCCTCTTGGGGCATCAGGCGCGATAAAACGCAATATCATGACGCCGATATTTACAAGAAAGAATGCGAGCAAGGTACCAACGGATGTAAGTTCAGAAAGAATATCGATTGGGAATATTGCAGCCGTTATGGCGCAAAGAGTACCGCAGATTATGGTAGTAATATATGGAGTTCGGAAGCGAGGGTGGATTTGGGAACCCAACTTTTGCATAAACAACCCATCACTGCGTATAATAAAAGAGTGAGATCAGATATCACTCACACTACTGTTTAATATAAACAATCAATTTGTACAATTAAATAACATCTTTACTTTGCCATTGCCAAGAAGATACGCGGTTGGCCCATCAAAGACACTAGAATTACGGATATTAGACCACACAAAGCGCCAAGGTCTACTATTATCCCAAGCCATTTCATTCCTGTTATTTCAGAAGCCACTGCGAGTGGAGCAGGGTTTGCAAGCATCCGATATGGAACGACACCTGTCAACACGGTCCTACATCATAACAAAGATGATTAAGCAGTAGACAATAAAAGAGAAAAAAAATTTTTAAGAACTTACGAAACAGCAACATAGAGAACTGAGACAATAGTAAAACTAGTCAAAATAGCGATCGGAACGTCTCTCTGCGGATTTTTAGTTTCTTGCGCCGTAGTTGAGATTGAATCAAACCCGATGAATGCAAAGAATACTACAGTAGTACCAGCCAGAACACCGGTAATACCAAATCTCGAGAATGTACCCTCGTTTGGCGGAATAAATGGTTTATAATTATTCGGGTTCACATGAGTTCCTGCAGCTATGCAAAAGATTACTATCACAATGAGTTTTATGCTGACAACCACGGAATTCACTCTAGCTGATTCTTTAATTCCTATTGTTAAGAGTATGGTAAGGAATATCACGACCACAAAAGCTGGCACGTTGAAATAGGCTCCAGGAATTACATGGAATTCACTTGATTTGGTGTCATATTTTACAGGAGCACTAGTCCATGAGCTCGAAAGTGTCACGCCACAATCTGCAAAGAAACTAACAAAATAACCTGACCACCCTTTAATGCATAAAAAGAATGTTACCCTTTATATCACAGAATGCATAAACTATAAATACAAGGGCATACCAACAGCAACCGCGGCAGCTCCAACTAAATATTCTAAGATTAGGTCCCAGCCAATTATCCAAGCCAGGAGTTCACCCATCGTTGCGTATACGAAAGTGTATGAAGAACCCGAAATCGGAATCATCGAAGTTAATTCGGAATAGGATAAGGCCGCAAAACTTGCAGTAATTCCGGCCAGTATAAACGAAACGATCACGGCCGGTCCCGCCTTCGTAGCAGCGGCTTCACCTGTTTGAACGTAGAATTTGTAACTATGAATTCATTTAATAAAGATGAAGACCTGGTCTCCAACTTACCGGTTAACACGAATATACCGCTACCAATTATCGAACCCAAGCTAATCATTATTAGATCATACACACTTAAGGTCTTGGCAAGCGTAGAATTTTGTCTATC